TACATCACTATTTATTGCTGATTCTTTATGAGAATATGAGAATCACTAAAATAAATGCTTATATACTATTTTAATAATTTCACAAGTTTTTTTCACATGTTTGTGTCTTTTTAAACAGTTAACTCCAGATCCTTTATAAAAAATAGGAAAAACATATTCTTACTTTAAAAGAAGCCAACATTCATAAATGCATTAATAAAATACTGATGCTGTTCTGACAAGGTTGTTATTGAGAGGGATTTTTGTATTTATATCATTGAAAGATATAGCTTGAATGCGGTTCAAAATGTGCATTCCGACGCATTCTAACTTTCATATGTTGGTCCTTGTGCTGAAAAAATGGATTGATTGTGAAGAAACACATTTTTTTCCTCTACCCTGTCCTATCTGACTACTCTTTAGTAACCTTCTTACTTTATTTAGGAAAGTTCCTGTATGGCAAAAGAAGGTTTGACTTTGACAGATCATTGACAGATCATGCAGTAATACATTTTAAAGCATGTTCCCTTTCTTACTGTATCTGCCCTGTATCACAGAACAATTCTGCAGAAGGTATCCATTCATTGTATTCCCCTTCACAACCTGATGATTTTATTTGTGTCTCAGGAGGGGGAAGCGGTGCAGCAACAACACTGTTTATAGTGGGGATGGTGTGCTGCTGACCTCGACTCGGGACGTTGTGGGTCGGTGGGCAGAATACTTCGAAGACCTCCTCAATCCCACCAACATGCCTTCCATTGAGGAAGCTGGGCCTGGGGACTCTGGACTGGGCTCTCCAATCTCTGTGGGTGAGGTCGCAAAGGTGGTTAAAAAGCTCCTTGGTGGCAGGGCCCCGGGGGTGGATGAGATCCGGCCGGAGTTCCTCAAGGTCCTGGATGTTGTAGGGTTATGTTGGCTGACGCAACTCTGCAACATTGCATGGACATCGGGGGCAGTCCCCCTGGATTGGCAGACTGGGGTGGTGGTCCCCCTATCCAAAAAGGGGGACCGGAGGGTGTGTTCCAATTACAGGGGAGTCACACTCTTAAGCCTCCCCGGCAAGGTCTATTAGGAGGTGCTGGAGAGGAGGGGCCGTCGGATAGTCGAACCTCGGATTCAGGAAGAGCAGTGTGGTTTCCGTCCTGGTCGTGGAACGCTGGACCAGCTCTACACCCTCAGCAGGGTCCTGGAGGGTGCATGGGAGTTCGCCCAACCAGTCTACATGTGCTTTGTGGACTTGGAGAAGGTGTTCGACCGTGTCCCTTTGGGGGGCCCTGTGGGGGTTCTCCGGGAGTACGG